GACATTTTTAGCAAACATTTGGGAAAAGGCTACACTGTTATGACCAAATACAAACAGAAATTGATTAGATGAGAAAAAATAAAGCTTGCCTATGCACAATTTTTTTTTAACCTTTTTTTTTAGGAATGTGATATGGTGCTTATGTCTTCAAAAGCTAGCTATGGGTGTGAACTTACGTAGTTTTATTATCCTTTGTATATGGATATATTGCATATTAGTATAATATGGACTCCAATTTAACTGCTTCCATGTTGCACAAGTTGCTCTGCTTTAGCACTGGAATGTATCCCAGTTAGTTTTTTCTAACTATACATTGTATAATTATACTACTATGACTCTACGTGTAATTTTACTACCATTATTTTGGAATAATTTATCTTTTGTGCATAGAAGTGATTTTGGGGCCATAAAAAGTTTAACTGTGTCTAAATATATCACTTAAATCAGGCCCAGTTAAAGGCTGAAAACTATTATTTTGGGAGTAATACAACACCTTGAAAAAGTACAGGGGGAGGGAACTTCTATTTATTTATGTAAAAATGTATATATTAATAATTTCAGTACTACCTTACCTATACATATAATCATTCATTACACTGCATTTAATTGGAATATTGGTTAATGTAAATCTTGCAACTATTTTAATGTATGTAAATATTTATTTGCCTTATGAGAATCAGTTATATAGACTGTTAAAAGCACAGGCTGTCTTAATTTTATGCTTAACAATATTTTTTTTGAGTGAAGGGTAATTTTCAGCAGTATTGAGTTTTGGCTTGCCTGGGAGCCATAAAGGTTGTCCATGAAACATATTTTTTCTACCTAATCTGAGTTTTCCCTGTGTTCATGAAAGCCCAGGAGCTGGCATCAAATTTAAACAATGTAATTTTCTTAGGAACTTCTCAGATTGGTGTGTGCACCCTCTGAAAGCAGCTGTGGGGCAAGGCCTGGAGCTGTCATGAACAGAAAACTCTCCCCGTGCCCATCTCTCACCACCTCTCTCTGTGTTTTGTCCCTCCCCAGTCCCAGAGCGCCTCTCCCAAGCAAAGGAAGCAGAGCGTCTTCACCCCGCCTGCCCTCAAAGGTACTGTGCAGGTACTGTCTCTGCCCTGGCAGGGCACGCTCCCCTTGCCCCGGGCTTTGTGTCTTCTCTTGCAGAGGAAACACTGGGGTGGGAGCAGCGGCTCTCTGCCCATGAGCAGCATAGCTGTGAAAGGTTCATGCTTAGCCATCGCTGTTTTCACACTTTGAAGTGATATCATCTGCCTGATACTGCCCATCTATTTATCCTCATCACAGAACCTTACAGCAGTGATTTTTTTTTTTCAAGCACCTTTTTTTTGCAAAGCCTTGATACTTTTATTAGTTTGAGATAACAGATAATTCCATCTCAAACATTGACGAGAACTCCTAAAATACATACATTTTAGCAGTGCTGGTTCTCTGTTTCTCATTTAAATGACTCCCGTATGTCCTGCCTCCCTTTCCAGGCAGCTGTGAAAAGGAGAATAGCCAAAGTTGTGGGCTGGGTATCTGATCACAGGAAGCGTGAAGCCTTTCTTGTGAAGACAAGGGAAAATGAGAAATCTCAGTAAATTTTTAAAGGGCTTACATGCTTTTCAGGAATGAACGTAAAAGCA